TTTAATTGATCGAAATGACTCGAGAAAGTGCAAAAATTTCAGGTTATGCACTCAAGGCTGAAAATCTACTTGGAATCCCCCATGGCATGTTCAATTCACATAATATGCTAGTGTGTGATAATGTGAACATGCACGCAAGTGTAATATGGATATTTAAATATGCTACAATGGCCCATGGCCTTATTACACTACATTTATAAAATTTGCCATGCCAAACCTCAAAGTTGGAAAAGTTTACATTTCAAGAACAAAACTTGCAATTTAAACACATACACTTAGATCCTTAAGGTTGGTGACCCTTGGCCACAAATCATACATATCATATAGGTTCCAAACAACTAACTTAAGTATACTTTACATACAATGAGACAAAAATAGCATATTGAACATGCTAACACTTGCATGTAAACAAGAATGTTTTGAAAGAAACTTTAAATCTCCAAACCATCAAAGATAAGTATCAATCTCCATATCTTGAATCCTGTACCTGAAATATGCCCCAGTAACGTAGGGGTGAACAACATAAAGCTACTCATAGGAAATGAGCATGCATCGACCTATGTTTTACAAGTTTGCATGATTTAATCATTGTGGTTCATTCCACCTAACGTCTATGTCAAAGGTAAGACCCAGGGAGCATCCTAGCTACCTAAGATCATTACTAGCATATAACATATCCTTTATGTAATTTCAACAACCAAAGAGCATGCTACACATAGCAACACAATATAACATGCTTACACAAAGCAACAAGATAGAAACATGCTTACACAAAGCAACAATATAAGAACATGTTTACACCAAGCATCAATATAGGAACATGCCTACACAAAGCAACAAGGTACAGATTTTCCAAGTAATCAACTTAAAATCTAAAATGTGAAATCAACTAAATATAACAATTTAGTATAATTAGAATATTTAATACCACACATCAAGATATAGATTCTCTAGACTATCAACTAGAAATCTAAAAGTGTAAAAACAAATAGTGGAAGTCTTGGACATCACGTCTCAGATTTTCACTGAGAACAAAATGGTTATTCCGGTCACCCTAGTACGCACTATCTCAATTAGGGAGAACTCATACTTCCCGCACTAAACCCGAACTTTGGCCATGTCACATGTAACAATGTCCCAAGAGATTCCAAAATATATATCAAGTTCAAAACTTATATATATATAATAAGGCATACAAACCACCTTCCATGCATAAGTAGATTGAAACCACACAATCCATGTCTTAGGATTCAAATTCTAAAATGGCATACATAATGTCAACACGAAGTGTACAATTCATTACAAAAGTCAATCATATATCCAATATTGGAAACAAGTTCTCATGAATATAGTTTTAACAACAAGGTACTCAATGCTTAAAACATAATCAAGTGCAACTTAAAATAGTAGCAACTTCTAAAACATGATTAAATCCATGAAACAATAAGATATAGTTTAATTAAATAAAAATAATTAAACCCTCTAGATTTTCATACTCAACCAAATGCTCTCAAATTAAAGTATGTTAACCAACATGTCAAAACTTAATTTAGAAGCATAATACAACTCAATTTCATGCAAGGTATGGCCATGAACTTTAATCTTTCATAAAAGATAAATATTAATTAAAAAGTGCAATCCTTATTTAATTAATCCCAATTTAATATATATTAACCAACATATTAAAACTAAACTTTCTAGCATGCCACAATCCAAATCAAAGTTACACATCATCATAAATTTTAAATCTTATACAAAGAAATAAAAATTACTAACTTTCTAGATTTGATACAAGGCAAACATATAGGATGTATAATCATGGAAAACATATAATACAACACACAAATAATCCTAAAACATTCCCTACCTCCATTTGAGATGAAATCTCAAATCCCCACCAAAATGGAAGTGCTCCGAATCTCACTTAACGGAAGGAGTAGTGATTATGCAATGGTGCTTAACGAATATGTGAATTAATATTTTGATAATTCATGCCTAGTGAAGACGAGTTGTACTACACCCTAGATTAGAGTAATTAGGTAGACAATTTGTGCGAACCGAAGATGAGTTATGGCGTAGTGTTTATTCATATATATCTTCTTAATTGAAATAAAATGTGTTTATACCCACTTGGTTCCCAAATATGCATAAGTATAAATCCCATAGTTGAAGCAAATTGACCATGTTTCAAGGCTAGTGGTGAAGTCAATACCTTAAGTCCTTTATTGCTTGATATCTCTTCTAAGTAGCTTAGTTTATCTTTAGTTTTTGTTTTGTTTACAATTTAGAAATAGAAAACATCAAAATTATTTCTTTTCTTGAATAAAATTAGCAATTAATTTTATACTTAACAATCTTCCACAGTTCTTGAAGTTCGATACCCTCAATATAGCCCTATTCCACAGGGATTCGTTTTATTGTGAGTGGACTTTTATTATTGACTCGCATCAGATACTATACCTTCTTAGAAGGTAACCTAATTATACCAAAAAAGGAGAAGCAAAACAATAGTGGTAATGGTTCATTCATACGTCTATTAAGTTGACATGACTATAACATTTTTTCAAAGAATTATATCCAACAATTTAAACTATTTTTTTGTTATTTTGTAATAATTGAGCAGCCATCAACATTGCCTCTAATGCAATGTTTCATGAAAAAAATAAGTAAATTAAAGTTGACCATCACTTATCAACATGCCAGTGCTCTAACGATGCTAGACCTCTCCCTAGTTTTTAAAGAAATGGTAGGAGTTCAAAGCTCAATAAATGCATGTGTGTGTCAACTAAAAAATAAAAAAATAAAAGAGTTGACCATCACTTTATTTTACATAAGATCAATTGGTCACTAAGCGCATGTCCGTAATTCTTCACTAAGGCTATAAGTTATAATTTTTTTGTTTATGATAAATAAGTATGTAAATAAAAGACAGATTGATTACATATTTACTTGGGACATAGCCAAAGACCATGCAAAGACATGCCACTGTAAGGCAAACAAAAGAAAAGCAGTTAATTGATCAAAAAATACATGTTGATCTAAATGTTTTCAGAATGTGAACTGCTAAATGATAAATGTGCAATACTCTGTTTCAATTTATTAACGTCACCAAATTCACTAAATTATAAACCACATGCTAACTGTAAGTCTATAACAATGACCTTCTGCCACATAAATCACAATTCCACATGATTTGTGCCAAATATCACGATTTCATATTACTTACGTAATAATTATCTATAATTATATTATATTATTATTTTATGATTTTACAATTTATCCTAAAAAGAATCAGTAGCCCGTCTCTCGTGAAGCTTAACTCACATACCCTTAAATCAGCTTGTATTAGGTTAACCACACAAAATTTCTAATTCATTTTTAAGGTCTTGTTTAATCAAAATTTTTTACAAGGGCCAATTTAAATATTACCCTATTGTTAATAATGTACTCGTGCATTATGAGACTGACTGTTGCACCACGTTGTTGTATTAGTGATACAAGTCAATGAATAAGATTTACAATGTTCATCTTCCTAAAATTACTTGTTACAAACCAACAATTAATTTTTGTTATTGAACCAATTTCACAATTAAATACTGTAACAAACCTTTCTTAAAAAAAATGTCCTTCTAATTGGAGGATTCCTCACCCGTACCAGTCTCACACGACATGAATGAGATTTAAATCGTAGACTTGCACAGTAGAAAAAATTTGAACTCACACTCAATACACTCAATATAATTGGTCTGGTAATTAAGGATCCATCCTATCATTCAATTATGTTACACTTGCGCGGCTGAATATTGCCTTGTCGACTGACGAAAATACTTCAAATTTGGAACTACAAAGAAGTGCCTTCAGACCTTCCAAACAAAATTTTATTGTTTTAGAAATGTTAGGACTAAATTTAAAGAAGCACTATTTTATGGAAAGAGATATGAAAAAAACACTACAACAAATTTGGTCTTTGGCAACAAACAAATTTGTCGCTAAAAGTACATATTTTGTCGCGATAAGATTATCGTGACAAAAAAAAAAAAAATTGTCACCGGTTTGTCGCTAGAAGCCGGTCATAATATGTATTTTGTGACAAATGTTGATTTGTCGCTAGAGGTGAGATATATTGTGACAAAATATGTTTTGTCACAAAATGAATAAAAATTGCGACAAAATATTTGTCGTAAAATATTCAAAAATTATCACCTTAAGACCTCTAAGACCTATGAAATTTGTCGCTATTTGTTACTAGTTTGTGACAAAAGCAATTTTTGTCACTATATATATAATCTCTTTGTGACAAAAATTGTCGCTATAAGCTATTTTATTATGACAAAATCTTTTGTCACAATATACATCCTATGTTGTGACAAAAATATTGTCACTATAAACTACTTTAATGTGACAAAAGTTTTGGTCACAATATATATAACATGTTGCGACAAAATTATTGTCGATATAACTAGATTTATTGTGACAAAAATTTCAGCATAATATATAGGGACATGTTGCGACAAAATTATTGTTGATATAACTAGTTTTATTGTGACAAAAATTTCATCACAATATATAGGGACATGTTGTGACAAAATTAGTTGTCGCTATAAATTATTTTATTGTGACAAAATTATTTGTCGCAATATATATATTATGATGCGACAAATACATTGTCACTATAAGGTTAAATGTTGTGACAAAATAAATGTCACAATATATATATATCATGTTGCGACAATATTTTGTCACTATAAATGTTATTTTATTGTGACAAAATATATCTTTTGTCACAATATATCTATCATGTTATGACAAATATGTTGTCATTATAAGTTAAATATTATGACAAAATAATATATCATGCCACTAATACAATAATATAATTTTGTTTTCACCTATTTGAAATTTGGAACCTGTAAATTGAATTAAAATATCAATAAATTAAACAATCTAAACCAAGATCCAAACATATCACTCAAAATCAATATATTTGATAATCAAACATAGAAGATAAAACACATATTCCACTAAGAATTTAGATATTAAAATATACAAATCATCTAAAATGATAATTCCAACACATATCAAAATCCTAATATATAAATCCAATATTACACAATGCTAATCGCATACACATATCAAAATTTCAAAAGAAATCTGAATCCAAAAGGGGAGCTAGATTGCAATCAATGAGAAACCTGCAAATAAGAATAAATGAAATTAGAATTTGAAAACTGAAATAAAATTTTAAAGAGTATTTTAGAAAACTTAATATCCCGTTGATAAGCACAGGTTTTATGAGTTTAGTTCATGTCTTGCTTTGTTGAATTTTGGTTTCTAGAGTTGGCTTTGGCAACAAAGGTGCTGCCGAAAAAAGAAAAAAAAACTCCCCCTAACAAAAAAATATGAGGGAGATCAATTGCAATACTTAACAGTCCAGATAAGAGACTCAAATTCTTCAGACATGCCTAGTAGTTTTGGTCTCCCCTAATTCTCTACCAACGGCAAAATGGCACAAATTTTAACACATTGTTAATATATATGTTGATAGAATTATTAGCCTCATTGTTGAGTTACCAGGTTAAGTAATTAAAAAAATAGTTCAACATGTCATTTATCCATTACTTATTTAATTTAATTCTATTGTAGGTTAGGTTATTAAAAAATGTTAATAGAATTACTAGCCTCATTCTTTTTATTCCAGTGCAACTCAAGGTCTTCTTCTAATAAGGCAAAACTTCTAATAAGGCAGAACTTCATCACAATTATTCAACACATACATTCGAACCTTATCAAGATCATTAAATGGCATATTGAAATAGGTCGGTGCTCCCAAAGGACGTATATCTTGCATAAAAACAAAAAGGTCCTGACCTTTATTTCCTCGATTGCCATCGTAATTCCGTTCATCTCGATTAAACACTGTCTCAACCCCTTTGAGATACATTGAACAAAAAGTTAGGCATTCTTTGTCAATATATGCCTCAGCAATTTATCCCTCTGGTTTGGCTTTATTTCGAACCGTTGTCTTTAAAGAATGTAAGAACCTATTACAATTTAATAAAAGAATATTTAAGTGAACAATATATACATAAGGTTAATAGAAGGCTTGTAACAACAATTATAAAATATCAACTAGGAAAAAAAAACAATTTTAAAATATTGAATGACACATCACCTTTCTATTGGATACATCCATCAATATTGCACTGGTCCGGCAAGGATGGCCTCAAGAGGAAGGTGAATTGCTAAGTGGACCGTTACGTCAAAAATAGGCTGGGGGAAATATCTATTCCAGTTTACATAATATAATGACAATGTCCTTTTCCATTTGCTCCAACTCATCCAACTGCAATGTCCTTGAACACAATTTTTTGAAAAAAAAACTAAGTTCAGTCAGTGCGGTACATACATCCTTGCGAAGGTACCCATGTATTGCTATCGGAAGTAAATGTTGCAAAAGAATATGACAATCATGACTTTTCATTCCCGATAGCTTGCAATCTTTGATATTAACACATCGAGAAATGTTTGATGCATACCCATCAGGGAAGGTGGTCTTTAACAACTGCTAATTGTTGCAACAAGATGTTGTTACAATTGTAACATGGACAACGAGTCCGGTTGAGTGAATCTACATGTTTACTAGCCACTTCCATAAAGTTTTTTACTCCTTGCATGTACTCTATCGAATTCCTATCATTATTTTGAATCCTACCCCTATCAAAATCCATTTCCCTAACACAAGCTAAATAAGCACCGTCAAATTAAATTTATTGAAAAAAAAAGCACTCAATTTTATATTGGCCAATGTCATGCATGCATACTAAAAAAGTCAAAAGTAAATTTGTTGTTCAGAAGAAAAATAAAATCATTTCCAATGATTAATGATAACAAATTACTTTACTGTGCCTAACCAAAACCAAAATACATAAAAAGCACTAACTGAGAATGTGTAGGCAAGGATGTGGGTGACAATGTGGACATGGGGGTAGGTTCTGACTGAGAAAATGTTGGCAAATGTGACTGTCAGATTGGGTATGGGAGTATGATCTGACTGAGAGACTCGTCTCCGACGGCTAGGTCCAGCCATATTTACCTATAAGAAGTTAGTGTTTTATATGCCAAAATATAAACTATGTACTTTTTTTGATCGGTATTCTTTATTGGTAGTCATATACTTGTTAATACTTGTATCCTACTCATATCTCCATTAGTTGAACCCAGTTCTATCTAAGCTTTTAATTTCGAACTAAGTCATATAAATAAGTTTCCCACCGATTCTCTCTAGAAAATTTCATATCGAAGGTAAAGCTTGTAGTTAAATGCTTTTGCCAGATTAAAGCAACTTATTGTAACATATTCAATCCAAGGAATTAATATATATATATATATATATATATATATATATATATATATATATATTATAAATAAAGAAATAATATATAACTATGATTTCGATGGAAAGAGTATTGTATAATACATTAAAAAGACATATTCAAGATTGTGTAAGAATTTTAATTTCCATTAATTAATTAAAAATTTCTAATCCTAAGTAGTTATATGTTATCAAGTATTTTTACAATATAAAAAGAACCTATGTGAGTTAAAATCATGAATGAAGGTAAGCATCTCCAATGTGATACTAAGGGTCTATATACAATTCATTGTAATGACAATGTTATCACAAATTAATACCGAAATCAAGAAGCATGTCATATATGTGTGTAAATGTATGTGTGTGTGTGTATATATATATATATAAAGAGATAGAGAAAGAGAGGGAAGTACCCATCTTCACTGAGGGCGCGGGGAATTTAGGGATGGAAGATGCCAAGCTGTAGTTGTAGAAGGTGTTGCCATCAGTGAGACTGAATTCGCATGTCGCAGACACCAAGTTGAGACCAACTTGATGTAGAATCGTTAGAGCGAAAAGATGAAGAAGAAAAGGCCATTTCAGTAAATCACCCCCAATTCTCATTCTTCTTCCAAAAATCTCATAACCAAAAGAATATTTGATTTTGTATTTTAGCGAAGAGATTAAAATGGCGTTTTGTATTGCTAAAAACTGATGAATACTTGGGGAAAACGTTGAGAGGGCAACGAATTGAATTTGAGGCCAATTTGCATAGAGCCGACAGAAAGAAAAGGAAAAACTTATCAATCTTTCTATCTATGTCATTGGAAGAGCTTATATTAGGAAACCTAATAACAAAATCCCCCTCCCAAACATACAAATATGAAACCCTAATTAAGCAAATATTCATAATTTTAAAGAAAGATTTTGGATATAAACCTTGTAATGAAGATTCAAATCACTTGTTGGAAGTTGATTTTGATTGAAATTGCTTCAAAAAAATCCCAAAATCACCTTTTAATCCCCTTGAGAAGTCGAATGGGTTTCATTCAAGACATATTTCGCTGGTGATGTTAACGGAGAGAATTTCTATCGGAAGAGAATAGGTATGAGTGGGATGAGAGAGAGAGGATTTAATTGCCTATGTTAGAGCTCTATAAGATGGAGGAGATAGTGAGAGAGGGAATCAGACAGCTTTTCTGAGATAGCTGGAGCGCGTATATTTTGGCGGCCTTGAAAATTTTCCTTTTTTAGACTCAATTTATTTTTATGGTTAAAAAATTATTGAAATAAAATATATATATATTTAATTCAAAAAAATAATCATTTCATGTAACTACTATAATTTAATTAAACTAATTAATATATAAGTATATTTTTATAATCATAGAACAATCAATTATTATTTAAATTTAAAATCTAACATTAAAAAATCGCAACTAGTTTATTTCAAGAGCTAATTGTGCATAAAAAAAATACACTTGTTACAGCGAGATATATTATGTGACGTCCCTGGTTTTTAGGCCAGTGCGTTAGTGATGAACCGAAAGGATGATCCGATAACGGATCCGAAATGCGAAAGCGAAAATGGAAAACAAGACTCTAAGAAGTCAAAGTGACCTTCCATGAGGTCGTGGAACTCAATGAGAACTGATGCGGAAGCAAAAGGTCAAAAATATGACAAATAAGCCCCCAGGGGCAAAATAGTCATTTTTAAAAAATGTGGATTCGGGTGCCACCGAGCATACTGCTGGAAAGAACTCAAAAAAATAATCAGAATGGACTCAAGAATCGCATGATTCAGAGTCCGGACGAAGGAGAAACGTCCTGACGAAGAGAAACGAGCACTTAAGGCTAAAAGGGTAAACTAGTAATTATCCAGGAAGATTCGGGTGCAACCAAGCATACCGTTGGAAAGACAGCGAAAAATTAGTCAAGTTCAAAAAAAAGTTCACTCGATTTGGAGTTCGGACGAGGGAACGAGCGTTTGAAGTTGAGACATCGTGGCGGCCCGACAAAGGCCATGGCGCACATGGCGCCCAAGCACAAGCCCACCGGCGCCCATGCCGGCGCCCAATGCCATGCACAAGCTGATAGCAAAAAAAAAAAAAAAGAGATTCCATAACTGAGGCATGAAACGGAGGCCAAGACGAGTTTTTATGGAAAAATATGAAAAAGAAACCCCCTCTAAAATCGAGTTTTCTACCCAATATTACGGACAGAATAGAAAAAAGCTCACTGTGAAATTTTCAAAATGCCCCTAGATCAGAACTGGATAAGAGGGCAAAAAGCTGCTATAGCATCTGTGTACATCTGAGATTAAAAACGGGCAAGAAGATGAATTTTTCAAGAAAAACACAAAGAAGAAACCCCCCTCAAAATTGAGTTTTCTAAGTGACTTTTAAGAGAATTAAAAAAAAAAAAATAAATGTAGAATGCCCGAAATGCCCCTCCATGAAATCTGGTCATGGAGGTCCAAAAAGCTGCTAAATAAAAAAAAAACAGAAAACCGAACTTTGCGATGGATTTTCGATACCAAGACGATGTTTTCTGAAAAAACACGAAAAAGAAACCCCTCCTAAAATCACGTTCTCTAAGCGACCATATCGAAAAAAGAAAATAAAAATGATGTGAAAAGTCTATAATGCCCCTATAACAGATTATGCAACAAAATTGAAAAATGATTCCATAGGAAGCTCAAATCACAAAGGAAAGGGTTTTTCCCGTAAACAATCATACACATAGACATAAATGGTGATTTTGAGCATGTGGGAATGGTCCGCGGCTCCCGAAAATGGTCGAGTCAAAATCCGACCCCCCAACGGCCAAAAAGGCGAAAATGAACTTGAAATGGAAAATATGGAAACCAAAATTAGGAAATGGTTTCAAATGACCGTTTGGCCCTTGGCTACACTTCATACAAGATTTATGCGACCCTATGAAAAAATGAAAATGGAATTTCCAATCCCGATGCAAAAGTTATGACATACTATCTCATGAATTTTTAATATTTCCATAATAAAGTTTGTAAGTAAAAGTGCATAACATACATAATGTATGATATTGGTCTCTAGCCTCATTACATTCACATCAAAAGAGTGTCAAAAGGTGCACTTAAGTGCACATTACATGGCTTAAACAATAAGTATAAGTTTTGTCAAAATAAACAAAAGTAAACATGATATGCTACCATGTGCATATTCAATGTCATCAAAAATACTTCAAGACTTCTAGCATGTCTAAGAGTGTTGTGTATCCCACAACAAAGCTTCTTTACCTACAAAACACCTAGTAACTTCGGAGTAAATAAACAAGTCTAACAAGTTTATTTGTAGGGAACGAGCATACATGACTCGATTTCTTTAAAATTTTTAGACAACATGAATCATTTCAAAAAGGGATCATGTCACCTAATGTCTATGTCAAATATTAGACTTAGGGATCATCCTAAGCTATCTTAGATCATTTCTAGCATAAATCACATCATCTATGCAATTCAAACAATATGGAAGCACGTTATACAAAGCAACAAGATAAAGGTTCTTAAAGGTATCAACTTGCAATCTAGAATACAGAAACAACTAAAGTGATCATGCCACCTAACGTCTATGTTCTAAATAAGTCTAAGGAATCATCCTAGACCATGTTGAACAATCAAAAAACAAATTACAATTTCAATGCAATCTAGCCACATAAAAGCATGTTATACAAGGCAACAAAATACAAATTCTTAAAGCTATCAGCTTGAAATATAAATCACGAAAACAATAGAAGTGGATCGTGCCACCTAACGTCTATGTTCCAACTGAATCTATAGGATCATTCCTAAACTACATTAGAACATCAAAACACAAATCACAATATCGATGCCATCTAACCAACATTAGAACTTCTAATACAACGCGTAAAGCATGGTTTCTCAAAGTAAACATCCTGAAACTTAAAATGAGAAAACAAGTAAGAAACAACAAGTCATAACATCATCTAGTTATCAACTTAAAATGAAATGCGAAATCAAATAAAGTAGATACTTGGACATCAGTCGGATCAGGCCGACCCCTTGGTTAATTTAGGGTTACTAGCCCATGGTAAACCTCCCTATGTACGCAATAGACTACATAAAGGGACTATCCCCAGTACTAGAACCACGTCCTAGCCGTAGCCAAACAATGACATCCCCAAGTTTCCAAAATCAATAAATTGTGCAACAACGTATATATCAGCATATGTATATAAGATAATCAATTATCTACCATGCACAACTAAATTTGGAAACATATACAATACATGCTCTAAGTCCACAACTAATATGATATGATGAATGTCGAATCTTCAGTGTGCGATTCGTTACATGCTATGCATGAAAGATGTTAAATACGAAGTGTGCAAATCATTACACAAGGCAACAATATATTCAATAAGGAAAACATATTCTCATGAGTATAAACATAGCAACTATGTTATCCAATGCTCAAAACATAACCAAATGAATATACAACAAGTCCATATCCAGGATTTTGATATAGAAACGACTTTCAAACACAATTAAATCCATGACTCAATTAGATAGAATTTAATTAAATAAAAATAATTAAATTCCCTAGATTCAAATTCAATTCCAAATAACCTCAAATTAATACATATTAAAGAACATGGCATGGTCATCACCTATATCCATTCTAAAACTCAATTAGGTTATTGGAACAACAAAGTAGAACTCTAATTAAATTATGCTAATTTAATTACCAAGGTTCTAAAGTAACTTCAAATGGTCCACAATTAATATATACTAGTAAAAAAGTCATAGCCAATACAAATATCAAGTTAAATTTTAATTAAGCTAATGGGACCACAAAATAGATTTTAATTAATTCTTTTAATTAAAGTCTCTAAATTTTCATACTTAACCAAATGCTCTCAATTTAACATATCTTAGAGAGCATGCCAAGGACTAATGTAATATCACATTACAAGCTTATTTCATGCAAGTT